GTGATTTGGAAAATGTGGAACATGAAATGCCTGTCATTACCTACCTAGCAGGATATTGTTGTTACATTTTGTCCAAGAAATTTAAATACCAAAAATGCCAGTCAAATTTAACATTTACAGATCAAATAGAAGTTGAAGACAGTCGCATACTCATAAAAAATTTGAGTAGAAGTAAGCTTAAATTTCCAAAAGACCATGTAACAAAAATCGTTTTGTATGGTTATCTCATTTTCAACAAAATTTTGGAATGTGATGAAGATAACTTTTTAGCAGTACCTACACAATAAAAAGACGTTTTTGTCAACAACAACTTTACAATGCATAACAGATAATCATTTGCTAACAGAATTTCCCCAATGTGATCTGCATAGTACTATAAGCTCGGTAAAGATTATCATAAATTCTGTCACCAATACTATTTTAAATAATTATTGTGGCAAAAGAAATGACACCATTGGAAAGGGGAATAAAAGAAAGTTAGATACTCTCACTAAATAAGCTGGTAGATTATTAGCAATTGTATTCTTCACTATTTAAAACAATTAGAACGCTTCGGAAACATGGAATTTTAAGCTATAACTGAAATTAAAATATCTGTGGCTAGTTAACTACGTCCATTTTTTAGGAATAGAAAGGCTAATCGTTTAAATCAAACAATGTAAAAAGCATATTAAATCCTGAAGACATTATTTTTGTCTAAAACATTCATATTCGTACAGTTGATCCATCATATACTACGCTACGCGTTATGCCTGGTCGGACTACTTTCAGTGACGTCACAATTCAGCCAGTGGGCCTTCTTGATTTCGGTGGTAACGGTTAAACCCAGTCAAGTTTCAAAGTCCCGGGGAAAATACGGATTCAAAGCAAAACTATCCATTTTTCGTATGGGTTGGTTTACACCATAAACTTACGCCTTCGGTTGCGGTGTTAGCTGCAGGAGTCGGGGGCGGCGCCGCAGCGGCCGGTTGTGGCGTCGGTTCCCGTTCCGGTTGCGGCGAAGAATTCTTCGCCTTTTTACTAGCAGGCGGCTCCTCTTCTGGGACAAACTTCTCAGGCACCGCCAGTTCTCCAGTGTCCCGCGAGCGTTTGCTCGAAGACATGTTGAAGCGCGCCTGCACAAACCGTGAGGTTTACAACCAGTCTAAAGCAAAAAAGCCACCCTGTACCTGTTCTTCAGCCAGAGCCTTCGCTACCAGATCCGCATTGGTTTTGTTCAGCTGCTCGAGGGCCTCCTTCATCTGGTGCTCATGGCTTTTCTTCGATTGCGTAACTTGCGCCTCCAAAAGCTTGGTGAAATCGGCCAGTCCCGGAAGCGTTGGGGCGCGTTTGTCTTTGGACATCTGCGAAAAGTCCGAGGGCAGCATTCCTGCACACCAAAATCGCATTAATGAGTCTGCGACGGCTCGCTAATCATTGATTTGTACCTCTTAAGCTCTCCAGCGCTTTGCGTTTGTCCTCCTTCTTGTCCGCTTTGCCCATCTTCATGCTGCCATCGAACGAGCCCGAGGCCAGCTTGGATATTCCTTCCAAAATCTGCGTGTCTGGCGGCAGCAACAGCTGCTGAATGTGCGAGTCTTTACTCGATGGTCGGCTGGGGTGTTTCACAGCGCTGCTGATCGTCATGCCAGCCGAAGACGTTGTGGTAACAGCGGAGGAGCGTGAGTTCGACTTCATTTTGGAGCCTTGCGAAGCCGCAGAAGCCAGACTGCCGTTCAGCAGGCCCAAACTATCGTAGCCGGAAACGCCTGGTTGCAGGGCGAAGGGATTGAGTCCGCCCAGTCCCAATGGCGTGTAAAGTAGGCTCGGATTGGGGAAGAAGAACGGGAATGCGTTCGATGTCGGTAAGCCGGAAGACGATTGGTTTTTGTTCGAGCTGTGCGCCTCCTGCGGCTTATCATGCTTGGAGCTCGAATTGCCTGCGTTGGATTTGCTGTTTGAGCCCTTACTGCTCGATCTGGAATCAATTAGACTCATATTAATATCATTGCAATAAACATTTCTTTTAGCGACCGTTTTTTTTTAAGTTTTGCCGCTATTTTATAGAAATTAGGATTTTTTGATCGAAAATGTTCTAGTTATTTTTCAGGGACTTCCATTCTGGCCCTTCTGAGCTTTATGAATGAATTTGATTCATGACTGTATTTTTTTGAAACACCCTATAGAAGGTACTTGATCGTCATCTTGGCTCTCATAGAAACAGTGACGGGTTGTGCGCGTAGTGAGAGGCCGTGCCGATTTGCATCGCAGTTAAATCGAGAAAATTAACGCAAAAAATCGTCCAAAATT